AAAATGCATCCCAAAATTCTACAAAAATACAAGCGACCTCAACTTCACCCCGATGATGGCCGTGTTGACTGGAAATCTCAACCGGAGGGGTCAAATTTGAAATCTAACAAAAGCACAAATTCTTGAAATAAAATCTATCTGCCAAAAACTCAAAACTAAAAAAAAAAAAAATCATCCACCATCCGCAATCGTTTGTCGGGGGTGATAAATTTGAAATTAACCTCAGCTCACAAAGAGCGAATGCATGTCGGGTGTATCACTTTGATTCATCCTCAAATAGTCTCTTGCCAACAGGGACGTGGCATGTGCCCTCTGATCGGGTGGTTTTGCCGCGAAATGGCACCATTATATTACGATCACGGCCAAAGCCCGTATGTTCCCTAAAGGCGTCAAACCCTTGAGCGATGGATCATAGGGTATATTCTATAGGCATAAAGCCCTCTGTCAGCTAAGGTGGATTCATATATATCCCCTTAGACAAACACCAACCCGGGTCTATAAGGTATCCTTGGACGAAGCAACCCATGGCTGCCGACAAGATGCCTTCTGTCAGGTTGGGTCGACTACCTCCTCTGACTAAGTGGACCAGGGATTATGACAGCCCGGGACGACGGAACCATGGGATCTTGATCGGGCTCGTCTTCATTCCCCCCACCACCAGTTTTAAGTTTATGGTGATAAACTCTAAATTCCAAATTTCAAACTTTAAAATTCAAATATAAAACTTAAACCCTAAATTATTGCTATTATACGACAGGTTTATAACCTATTCGACCTCTTTAACGACTAGCCTTAATCGAAAGTTCTCTCTCGTTATCGGGAGGGGTAATTAACTATAGGGGCTTGCGCCTATAGGAAACTAGAACTCAGATCAAAAAGTCCTCACCAAATGAGGACGAAATCTCTGGGTAGTGTCTCATCTAAAAACCCAATCTGCCTTCTGAAAATTCTCCCGGGATCACACATCCCAAAAATTGGAGTTTTTCGGAGCCCACAATATGATGACAAAAAAAGCAATAAATAGAAAACAAATATTTGTAGTGAGAAGTAAAAAATCACAGACCTGATAAAGCACCTCATCAGCAATCCAGTTGCCAATACCAGAAACAAAACTCTAGAAAACAGAGAAGTTATAGAAAATCAATATTTCCCAATGAAGAGGTCAAAATATTAAAAAAATAACCAAGGAACTAATGTGATGCACATTGAAATAGAAAAAGGAAAGAACACGCTAGGAATAAAGATTATACAGTAAAAATAACATATATAACCACGAAAGAAATAGTGTGATTAAAGTATGGATTAATAATAGAGATATTTATATGTGCAAGCGGAATCTTCCTTATTAACACAAGTACAACCTATATGTTTAAAGTGAACTAACAAACAAAGTATTTGAGCAAGATACAACCAAATCATCAACAATTTAACAAATAAGTTAAAATACAAGTTGGTGGTTTTGTTGTGCTATTCAAGATTTGGGTGATATTATTAAATTGAAATAATTAAGAGGTAGTTCAATGAATAAAAAATATTTTGGCAATACACGTGTAATTTCTCCTCAATATTAAAAAAATGAATAGGTCATTACTATGGGAAAAAAGTTTAAATGATAAAAAAAGCAACTGTTTAATAGAGATAAAGACAGAAATTGAAAGCAGAGAGAGAAAATACAATAATCAATTTGAAAAAATTCATCATGTCCCATCATTCAACCAAATCATTTAGATTAGGGGGAATGGAATTTGGTAATTTTGTTGTGCTATCCAAGATTGGAGCGGCATTACAATAAATAAAAGCACTTCAGAAGCAATTTTGTAAATAAGAAACTTTTTTATAGAACACAGCTGTCTCAGTATTAAGAAATAAATTACTATGGGCAAAAGTTTAAATAAAAAAAAAATTAACACTGATCGTAAAGAAAATTTGAAAGTAGAGAGAAAATATAATAATCAAACTGAAATTCTAATCAAGACCAGCTTCTCAACCAGCACCCACGGAGTTTCCAAATTTTATTTTAGGCGACACAGCAAAGGGCTTATCCAGGAAAATATCTATCTGTAGTGGCTGTTTGCATGCCTGATAACAGCACACAAGCTCACTATAAGCATCAAGCTTCATTACTGTTTAGCATAACATCCCAGCATACAGTTACGCCTGTTTTGATGTGATTGACTCAATTATTTGTTCTGCGTATTGTGTAGGTTTAAATTGAAAGAGTTTTAAGAGAATATGGTCCTGGTTGCAAACCCAATTCACCTCTCTTTAGCATGCCTTGACTCACAGATCATATTTGTGGTCGGTCTAATGAAACTTTCATTTAAATTTGACATTATTGAATGCTACATGACACCTCAACACTATTTTATGTTTATAAGCCAAGCTTCGTCAAGTCTCCTGCATTCATCCCTTGATGGCATCCCTCGCCTAAGCTCTCTCGAGCTCATGCTCACCCTTGCCTTGCTTGCAACCAGCATAGCTCACCCATTCTCATGTTCACACAAGTTGCTTGCATGTGCATTCGCGCATTGCTTGCCTACATGGTTCATCCTCCCACTCCCCCCAAATGCTAATAGCCCATGCTAGCATCTTCGCTCTCTCACTAGTGTGAACCCTTGTGCTGAGTCCACTCGTTGCTGCATGTGGCATGCCATTCTACTATCATTCATGCGGTCCCTCTCAAGGGTCCCTCCTTGGTAATCGACTTCTTCTGGAGTTAGCATTATGGCCTAATCTATGCAACATCACTACCAACCTTTTCATGGATCGCAACCTTATCAATTATGCTCGTCAACCATTTTTCACTTCTTTTCTACCTTCAACTATATCGGGTCACTCTTGTAGGCATTCAACATCTCTATCCCCCAACTCGACCCTCATCACAAACCTTATTGGATACCCCTCGATTTTTGGCATTCAACATCTCCATCTCCGACTCGACCCTCATCACCTACTATAGAAGCTGCTGCTACTTGACTTTCTAGACCATTTGCAGCGAAGATAAAATGGATGTTACTATTCCTCTAGATAATGTGTAGATTGGTTCCACCACTTACAATTATTAGACAAATGTTAAATTTAGAGGGATACCTTTCTATTATTCCTCTTACAAATTGTTTGGACACATATACTCTGAATCTTTCAAGACTCACCTTGAATTGAGGAAAATCGATTGTTATTAATCTTTACTTTGAGGTACGGAGGGAGCATACAAGTGATTAGAATCTACTTTCAAACATATTATTTGCAATTCCTCCTTTTTCAGATCAAGTTTGAGCACAAATTTTAGAATCAACTCTAAACATTATCATGCAATCAAACCCTTTAGATCTCTTCCTTGTTTTCCTAAGCCCCAAAGATGTGATCAACTCCTCGTCTACATGAAAGAACAATGATCCCAATTCTCCAAGTGTTAGCCCCTCGTATTCACCTTACTGTTGAGAATGTCGACAACCTAACTTCGATGTAGCTTTATGATTATGATGATAGTATTCCACTAGTGAAGCATAAGTAGATAGGAGGCATCAAATCATGTTTGCCAAGAGGGGATGACAATAAAGAAATTTTACCATCATTCACCGAGATTCACTATGCTACAAATAAGGTGCTATAAATGAGAGCTTTTTAGTATCTCCCCATCTAGCAAATGGATTTTCTTTATGTCATCTTTTTTTCCTTTAAATCGCATCTGTCAAATCTTTGAAATTCATTCATACTATACTCATTCCATTGACTTTAAAAAAATTGCTTTGAAAATAAATCTATTTTATGCAAGATTTTTTGCACAACTTTGTCAAAGACTTCTCATTCTAACCCTTCAACATTAATTTTATACCAGCCTTGTTGCACACAAGTGCAATTGACTAGATTTCCCAGCCATATTATTATTATTCACAAAAATATATCGAACTTATTGGTCAATATTTTGGCTTGTTATTAACAAATTAATTAATTATATTTTCTGATATATTATCTTCAAAAAATGATAGTCCAGATATTTCTTTGCTATAAGCATTTCTCCCTATCCATCATAGTTTTAACAAGACTATCTTAGCATATTTATTTCTGCCAAAGTCAACTTAATTTTTGGTGAGTTCTTCATAATAATTTAATCCACAAAACTCGATCAACCTAGTTTCAAAATTATTAAATTTATTTTTAAGTCTTCATGGATTTTCTTAGTACATAGTGCTCCAGATATGCTTCTCTATCAATCATCCAACTTTAACCACACTAATTATATCCTCATCTACATCTATATTAGTTTGCATAATAGACCAATAAGAGCCCATCACTCTGGCGTATCACATAATATTCAAACAAAATTAACTAATAACTATTAGTTTCACATAAAAAAAACATCTTAACTTCCAAAAATTTCCTTCACTTTTTACTTCTTTTCAAGAAATTAATCAACACGCAAGTAGCAGGACAAAAAAAAAGTGAACGTGTGTCCACCTGATTAAGCAATAGGGCCTTAATTGCAGTATTCCTTTTCCTCAAAGCATTTACAAGCTCTTCAATTTGCAAAGGCTCTAGCAAAGCATCTGGACCAAGTTCAGAAATTGGGGGCACCGCCTCTGGCTGCAGGAATGCATTAGCAGGAACACTAAACGAAGTACCCATAAGGTGCAAGTGGTGCAGGCAAATAATCAATATAACAGTATAAGTTAAATAAGATTAATACATCTTGAAGCAGGCGAACTCTGGCAAAACGTCTCTTATCAGTAAACGACAACTCTAAACCATCTTCTAGCTGCATGAAGCAAGAAAATACATGATTGAATCAGAAATTAAAATAAAGTTACAAGAAAATGATAAATTTTAATATAATGCAAGTATAGAAAAAGAATAAATTAGGTTTGATTGACAAGAAAACATGGCAAATACTAGTCAAATAATCGCTTATCTTTTTTGATGCTGCTTCAGAAGACCAACAAATAACCTTCTTCACTTTAATTTATATACTTCAACAAACAAATTGTTTCCTGCATTTTACGATCACCGGGGAGCCCAAGTTTTAGATCTTTCTCCATCAAATCAAGAATAAGCTTTCATTCAGTCATTTCCAGCATCATTCTCGGCTGCTGGTGTGTAAAGAACATCTTCTATAATTCTCCTAGTTCTAAAGTAACGGATCTATAAGAGAAATATCTAGTTCCTCCACTTAATTTACAATGTCTTTAAACCTCAGAAATCCAATTAGAAAGCAATTCATGAAGACAAGATTTTGTATTACAAATTCATCTCATAGGATCTAGTTTGCCAATCTCATTAAAAAGCTAATTAATTGACAATCTTGTTCGACTTGTTTTATTGAAATATGCTGTGGTAACATTTTAGCTTATTATACTGAAATGTTTTGGGGTTAGCAATTCCTTATCTTACTTAGCCAGCAAAACTGCTTATTGAGGATTCCATATGAAATATGCAGCAATTTAGCCCATCTTTATGCATTTATTATATTTTGAACTAAAATTGGAACCAGATTTTTAACTTGACTAAATCATTTAAATCACATCAATAAAATTATCAAGCACATGAAGGCCACTTGAATACAACAACAACAAGTCTTTATCCCACTACGTGGAGTCGGCTACATGAATCATTTTTCTCTATTTTGCCAAAATTAGAACAAAGATGATAACTACTAGATATCATAGGTTCAGGACATATTCTTCATACAACTGCTTAAGATCATGAACTCTTGCTTCTTCAGCAAATTTTTCACATGATTTAGCATCTTAATGACATTGAAAAAGCTTTTGTCATATTTGAACTGTATAAAAATTTCTGAAGACACTTATAACGCTATGCAAATTCAAAAAGCAAAACAGTGTGCATCTTTATCGTGAAGCTAAAGGTATTATTAGATCTATGCAGTTTTCTCTTAACTTTTGCTCCACTTTTAGGGCATGCCTAAAAAGTACACAGTGCAAATAAAACATAAATTTATCTGGTCGACATTTGAATTTATTTTGCAAAATATTTTTCATATATGCAAAAATCAAAAGAGCGAAAAGAAGGGGTGTATTTTGAGGTTATTGATATCTTAGGAGATTGAACAATAACAAACACAAGAAAAAAAAAATCTAAAATTTTAATAATGCATCTTTCCTGTAAGCTTCCTTTTGAATATGCAATTCAGGAAAAGAATGCAGCCCGCCTTGTTCTAGAGAGGGAATAAAAAAAAGGCATTCTCATGATCAAGGGATTCTCTCATGCAATACACAGCACGTGTATTCAACAAATTTAAAAACGTAAAAGGTTGCCTACAACAACAATGCTTCATCCAAGACGCCATTTGGTACATTTCAATGCAATGCGATTAAAATTAATCATCTCCAAAGTTAATATCACAAATTTGACTAAATTTATTTTGAAATGAACAATAAATCAAACCCATGTTAAGGGACATGAGGCTGTTAGCTCGCCCCACTACAGATAGTTTAAAAATATGCTAGCATAGAAATACCAAATGATTGGTCAAACTTAAATTTTGGATTAAAAATAGCTTTAATCATTAGTGTTCAGGCAGGCCAAACTCTTATCTCATTTTGATTCACAGCCCGAAGTAGTATCAAAGTCGATGATTCAACTGGGATCAGGTGATTGATGTGGATTGTGGCTCTTCTAGATCTTTGATGAGTTCTATCATAGTTGAGCAAAGTGTAAGGGCAGATGAATCCACCATGCCTCTTTATGATTTAGTGAACTTTTGGTGCATGAGGCTTAAGAAACTTCAATTGGGGCTGAGTGATAACCAATGAGGGTTGTTATGGCTCATGTGGCTTTCAGTTTAGTCCGAACTATAATAGCTAAAAATATGTTTGTGTAGAAATACCAAGTGATTAGACCTTATTTATAGACTTAAACTTTTGGGTTAAAAATAAATTTAAAAACTAATAAATGACCCACCTTTGGATGCACTTTGGTTGTTTTACTCTATGTAAATACAGAAAAGAGGATTTGCATATATGTCACATAATTATTACATACTTATATATCTAACACCTAATTCTTTATATTTACTTATACAGCAATTTAGTGTGTATTTCACTTTTGATCATAGTTTAAAATTGCGCAATAAGAGGTGCGCCTCTGCGCAATTTGGACCCATGCCACCTTATTGCCTAAGCAATTTTGGTATTTGCTGAGGCTTATGCCTCAGGGAGTGTGAGGCACGCCTCAATTGCGTAATTGCGCAATTTTGGCTAAGGCGTACGCCTCATTATTGCAGTTACAGAATTTTGCAGTTAGAGTTTTGGGTCTCACTTATTCTTCCTCTGGATGCGAGCAAAACTGGAGTACATATAGTCAAGTGCAAACAAAGAGAAGAAATCGACTTTCAACACTCAAAATGAACTCCCTTGTGTATATTATGCATAACAAGAGGTTGAGAGATAGGAGATTGAGGAACAAGGGGTTGAAGGATGATGAGGACCCTTTGGTGTGTGATGATGTACGTTTGATAATGAGTAGTTCATAGATGATGAGACAGATTTGTCATTATCAGACCTGCAGTTAGAGGATCTAAGTGTAGATGTCTTGAGAGACGAAGCAGAGCAAGTGGGCACATCCACTAGTACCACACCGCATACATCCACTAATTCTATAGCACAACAAGCAAACAAAGATATCTCACAATTTCTTATGTGCTATATATATATATATACAATTAATATGACAATAATCATTCTTATTGAACAGATAGAAAAAAAGTGAGTAATATTGAAGATGATGAAAATATGACATTCATAGATACAATTGGAGAAAGATTCCCTTGAATGCCCATTTAATGATGGGACATGATTGAATTTTATATGTTTTTTTCTTATTTGTACTTTGGGAGTTTTTTTTTATACTTATATTTTGTGCTTTTGTACTTTAAATTATGCTATGAGATGCTTATATTATTATATTGCATCTATTTTTTTGTTTTCCACTAATTTCACTTGTCATTTAGATGTTTTTATTGTATAATAGACTCTTAATGTTATTTACCTGCTAAAATTCTTAAATTCTCATTTATGCAATTCTTAGTCTGTGAGGCTTACGCCTCACACCGCCTCGAGGCTTATTTATGCAATTTTAAACCTTGATTTTGATAAATTAATATTACTGATCTTTATAATATAATTTAGAAATTATTACTTTATATGAATATTTTAATGTAATATGAAGATTGGAAGTTAGATATATGAATAACTAAGAATTTTGTAGCAGTTATGTAAATCTCACCTAAAAACTGCCAAGCATAAAACGCTTCATTCAATTTAAATTTCACCAAAACAAACAGCTCGTAAGAGACAAACAATCACACATCTTCTCTAAAAAAAATCAATCATTGCAAGACGAACGAGCATTACAGGCGCAGGTAAATAAGTAAATAACAAAGAGATATCAAAAAGCCGCATGCCTCCATGAATACTTTCGAGAACTTCGAAGGCCATTCATCCTCATCGCTGACAGCAGACCTACAAAGAACGCCACAATGTTAAACCTTATAAGAAACAAAACATCCGCATTTTCACCCTAACTCACCTCTTGTACTTTGTGACTGCCACGCCTTTGATGTAGACAGCGCCAGACATTCCAAACTGGAAGGAAGGAAAGGGAGGAGAGTCAAGGCGGAGCCAGAGGTTCTTGCCCTTGCGGAGTGCGGCAATGATAGTCTTTCCGACGAGAGCCGATTCAAGCTCGGATGGGGAGACGCCTTCAATGACCTTGGAGTCGTTAGCGACGACAGAGCGTCGAACCTTCTTGCCGGTGCAGTGCTCCTCTATCGCTTTCCTCGCCGCCTCTACCTCCGGGAGCTCCGGCATCTTTCGGTTGGTTTCGATCTCGATTGTCGCGCTTGTTAAAACCCAAGCTGAGACTCCAGAGAGACGGGCTAAACCATTTCCGCAAAATTCATATATTATTTTTTAATGCGGATTAATCTTTGGCATCCGTGAATGGTTCGCTTTGTTTTTTATCCGGTGATGGTTAGCTTTTTTCAATTTATGCGTCCATTGATTTGCGAAAAAAAAAAAAATATTGAGTAAAATAGAATTTAAAAAGAAATATTATATATTTAAAATATTTTAGATTATTTAAATGAGTGTGAAGTAAATATAATTAATTATTTTGTTACTCTCTTTAATACAAAGATAGATGCAGAGTAAAGTGGCGGGTGGCAACCGGCAACGATGGCTGAGATTGTTCCCATTGTCGATGGCGGTAGCTAGTGGGCATGAAAGTGACATAAAATTTATATAATGTATTTGGAATTTGATCAAATCTACAAAATTTAAATATATCAAAGTTGAACTAGATAATAAGTATTTTGAATTTCAAAATTTTATTATGTATTTATTTTACTTCAAATCAAATATCAATTTTTTCAAGACTCATACATTTCAAACAATTTACCTCTTTTTTACTTTAGGCCAATATGCCTGTGAATTCGAATTTATTCGGAGCAATATGAATCTGTGAATATAAAAAATTTTGGACTTTTTTTCACATGAATATATTTAGAAGATATTCATAGATATTATGATGCATATAAAATATTTTTTTAGCCCTAGTTAAAATTTTATTTTATTTTCATATAACATTAGCAGTAAAAGATAAAAAATAATAAAAAATAACATTACGAGTAGTTTTTAATCATTAACATTCTGATTTTATCATCGAATTGTTGTCCATCGAAAACATTTGTTTTTCTTGTAATGAGGCTCACTTGAGACCAGACCAATTTTGTAGCGAGTGATGGAGCCATTTGCTTATCGTTTTGTTTTGAAAGTCCAACGACAACCTAGTATTGGTTTAGTTGGTAGAGGGACGAGGATCCATGTGTTTGCTATTGTAGTGCTAGAAACTTGGTTGCCATTTTGTTTCGCCAATATGTGTGTTTGGATGCTTTGGCATATGTGGTGGGATCATATTGAGTGGTTAGGTGGTGATGTTAGTTTAGGAATTGATGGGGTTTAAGGGAGCCCATTTTTAGACGGGTAAGCATTGGATGATTTGGGTGAATGGGGGAGGATGATAAAGATGATATGGATAAAGTATGAAGAATCTGATTGGTGGGTGGTTGTTTCTGTTGGAGTTGGATGATATCGTTGTGAAAGTGTTGTAGGTGTTATGGATGTGGATGAAGTGGGGATCTTTGAGGAGGAGGGTTGGAATTAGTATATGAGGATTAGGGGGTGGATGGTAGGCTAAGTTAGGATATAAGGGTGGATTGATTGAATATAGGAAAATTGATTGGTCATTAATGATGTGGCAGTATATGTAAGGGCGGACGGAGGTGGGTTAAGACATTTGTAGCTTTTATAGGAGTCAGCGTAGTTAATGAAAACACAATGTGGCGATTTTAGAGAAAGTTTGTGATAGGCAACTGGGTAAGGAGAGGAAAGCAAGCGCATCCGAAATGCGAAGCTGAGAGTATGTGGGTGGTTGTTTGTTTAGTAATTGATGTGGTGATTTGTTGGAGGTGTTTAGGGAAGGCATGCGGTAGTTGATGAGTTAGATGATAGTGAGGAGGGTGTTATGCAATAGGTTGTAAGTAAGATGTGCTATGTGTACTAAAGTTCTAGTGGTTTCGATCATATGGTGATGTTTGCATTGATACATGTTATATTGTTCAAGGGTGTAGGTGCAGCTTATTTGATGTGATATACAATGTAACAGTAAGTAATTTTGTAGAGTGCGGTTTAAAAAATTTGTTCCTCCATCATTGCGCAGAAATTTAATCTTGAATAGTAGTTGTTTTTCAATTACGATGTAAAATTTAATAAATTTAGAGGGAATATCATACTTGTACGTGAGGGGAAAAGCCCAAGTAAAGCGAGAATAATAATGGAAGTAAGTTGTAAAAATAACAATGCAAATTTATGTAATTGTATATATGATCTTAGGTGTTATATTAAAGAGACCATATAGAAAATGTGAAAGTGTGGAAAGGATTTCAACAAAACAAGTGAAGTGGTTGATTATATTGTTTATAGTAATTTTAGTTTCTTTTATGTCATTTTAATTAATATTATATTATGCATATGTATTTGTTGATATTTAATTATTTGATATGCATCAAATTGAGTATGATTAAGTAATCAAAGCTTAAAATTTATATGTATGGTATTAAAAAAAATGATTGTATACAGTAATAAGCATATGTAATGGAAATAAATTATATGAAAAGAATTAAATATGTAAACGAAAAATATTAAAAGGGCAAAGATATATGCATACAAAAATACATGAGTTCATATTCTTATGATACTGACTGAGGACACAACATACTCATTCATGTTAAATGGTTGTATCTTCATTGGTGAGAAATTTAGATGGTGCTCGACTGCTCGTGTACTAAATGAAAAAGGGAAAATGAATACTACAATATTGTACATAATAAATATATAATAAGGACTAATATCATCTGAAATATTATATATATATATATATATATATATATGCTAAACACAGTTTGTAATTATATACATACATGTTAAATATAAGAGGAATTTTATTGAATATGATTTTATATATGTATAAATACTAAACACAATTTGTAATTATCCACTAACTTTACATAAACTGTTAAATGAATTTTCAGGTATGCCTTTTGATAAATAGAAATGACTGATAGAAAGAAATATATATATAGAAGAAAGCGATCGGATGGAGATAGGTAAAATCTAGTTTAAGTCCATGCATAAATTTTATATTTTTATTAGTGGCTCCTCAGTTTTATATGGGATGTAGTTAATAAACTATTTATGAAATTGAAAGAAATGAATTAATCATTCGGTTGTCCGTTTCTGGTTCGTTAATTCGAGTATCCGGGCTGGGTCGTGATAAAAGTGCATCAGAGCACTAAATAGGGTATGAATCGTATTAAAAGAGCAAGTATGTTGATTATTGAAGTTAAGAAAGTTGATTTTATAATAATTTATGAATTTTATAAGATATTTTATTTTAGTTAAGAATATTTGAAAAGAATAATACCAAATATTACCTATTAATCCTGATGCATTGATATAAATGATAATAGTAATGACCAGGGGCGGAGCCAGAAATTTTTTTTAATGAGGACACAAATTAGTACTAGTCATTAAATTACTCTCAAAATATCATTTTTCTTTTATGTAATCGCAAATCACGAGATATGTTTTTAATAAAAAAACATAAAAAATACAACCAAAATTATATTTGATCCCATTAACAGAATAGATATATCACTCTCTATCTTATTATTCATTAAGAAATTAATATTTTTTTCATAACAATGTTAATGAATTAAGTCAAAAAAATTAATTTTATATTAAAGTTTATTTGATTTGAGTTAATTGAAATAAGTCTTAATTTTAAATTATATTTAATTTAATTATATTTAAATTATAATATAATATTCAACCTAATTCTAAATTAATTGTTTATTAAATTAATTTGACATAATGATTCACATTTTGTTAAAGAAAATCATAAATAAAAAAATTTATAAACATAACCTTATTAAATTAATTAATTTATTCTCTAAGATTTATCAAAAAAAAAATTCAAAAAAAATGAATAATAGATATCAGCTGGTATGCCTAATTCCCAAATAAATAAATAAATAAATAACTGTATTGAGGGCGGTAATATTGGGCTGATATAAAGTATGATCGAGAAAGAGAGAAAGGGAAATAAAGAAGAGAGAGAGAGAGAACACAGAACAATACCGCAACATGACGTCCTGTGGAAAAAGAGCTGAAACGACGGAGGCGGAGGGATTAGTAAAATTAAATTTAATCTTTATATATTAATTATTATATTAATATAATTTAAAATGGCTTGATTAAAATTGTTGGGCCAATGGGGGCCATGCCCCCAGGGCCCCCACTGTAGATCCACCCATGATAATGACTTAACTAATTTAGGGTTAAAAAAATCAACCATCAGGAAGTTGTAGTAATAATATAACAACTATGGATAAACATTTAAAGCTATTATAGGATACAATATTACTATTGTTTAAAGGCGTTGAGTGACCAATTGAGGCATGGAATTAGTTACTACGGATCGAGAAAATATTAGAGGTGATGTTATGTCCAGATGGATGGAATATTTCATTAGAAATAGTTGTACTTGATGGTGAGGATTCAATGTGGCGGATGGGTTAGCACCATAATTGATTTTGAGGGATACCTAGCATTCAGATCAAATGTGATAATTTTACTCACGTGTTCAAAGACTAATTTGCGTCTCTTTCTGCGAGAAGGCAAATGCAAGATAAATTTCTAAGACAGGTGCAAGGAGATAGATTTGTTATGCAGTATGAAGTAGAATTCCATACTTTATCAAGATATGCTTCTCGATTAGTTCATAATATAGAAATATTTTCAATTTTTATCTAGATTGAAAGATGCTATTAGGAAGCTCTTGTTCCTTTGGGGATTAAAGATTATTCTTTATTGGTGGAGAGAGCTAGAAAAGTATAAATGAATATACAAAATACCCAAAGGAGACATTAATTTCAAAAGAGGAAGAATGTTAATGACTTGATGTTATGAAAACTTCCCAGGATTCTTACAATAGATCAATTTCACAATATGAAAAGTCTAATTGGAAGAAGACAAAACATAGTAACAATGGGAGTCAAATGAGCATGAATATCTACAATAAATATGAAAAGTAACATAAGGGAGAATATCTTTTTGGGATAAACACATGCTTCTAGTGTCATCAACCTGGACATATAGCTAAAAAATACCCTACTTTGAGTCAAAGACCATCAAGAGAATCAAGAATGAATGCGGGGCCCTCCCAAAGAAATGTTGGCAAATAAAAAATGATAGAATTAGTTGCTTTCACTCCGGGGCCAAGTCAAAGTTAATCAAGTACTCAGTTTCTAGTGCATGCTTTATCTCATCAAGATGCTAAGGACTCACCTAAAAGGATTACATGTATATTTTTATTTAATTCATAAAAATTTTATTTAAATGCATGATTAATTAAATAATCCAAGTGATGAGTTGCTTTACATGTGTGGGCCTGAGATTAGCTTTGTTTGTTGTAATCTAATGGTTCTTCTTTGATGTGCTTTGGAGGTGGAGGCGGCTGCTCCATTTTTCTAAGTTTGTTAAGTGTTAGCTCTGTAGCTATGCTTGAGGTGGAGTATGCTTTTATACGATTTTGATTATCTTGAAATATTTAACATCTATTTAGGACAACTTTCTAACTGCTTTGTCTTTACGATATCATTCAATATTTTGTTTGGTTGCTGCTTTCTCATTATTTTTAAAAAGTTTCTATAGTAGAAAGATATTTTTTGCAACTAGAGTATTAAGTTACTTTCTCTATAACTACAATATTAAGTTACTTTCTCTTTACGTCACGTCAGCAGTACTGAGCGAGAGATGATGTGGTGCATTAATCTGGCTGGTCTCCGAACGACATTCGGCATCTGCATAGAATAATTAATCTTGATTCTTTATTGATGTATTGCTTTATTATCAACGTTAATTTACTCCTTTTTTTACCGTATAATTTTAAATAGGTCTATATTGAAAGCTTAAATTAATTTCAATTAAACCTAATTTTAATGAATTAAATTTTTATTGATCATGTTATTAAAATCATTTTATAATTTAGTATTTATTTTTAATTTGACAATCAACTGATAAGCCATCAATCGACGTCTGCTCTGCTAGCCACACTATCACTCCCCTACTGAGAGCAGAAGATTCCCCGACAATCTTCATCCGAGTCGTTCACTTCCAATCGTTTGAATGATCTCAACCACTAGTTTAATGCTTATTTTGTTTTACATCTTATATAATCTATTATTGTATCATTGAAATGTGTGTGAAGTCAACTCTTGGTTGTAGCCGCTTTTCCTTTCTGCTTTCCTTCTTCTCCTATATGCTTTGTTCTCTTCATGATATCAGAGCAGATGTCGGTGGTTGCCTTATCATTTGTTATAGCTTATCATCAACAAATAATTAGAACGAGCAAACTTATAATCACATTTGACTAGATGCAATACTAAATAGAATGCCAAGTTGATCTAAGTTATGGTTGAATTGAGCAAAAGTTTGTTTGGAGCCCATACAATTTTTTATAAATTTAATTATAAAGCTGCTATGCGGGAAATAAATTTTTAAAAGCTGAAAAATATAATTTCTAGCATAAAAATATCATGAAAGCAGTAAAAATAAATAATCAAACAAAAATTATGATTGCAATATGAAAATAAAATAATAAAAAAGCTATTCCAGATGAAGCGTGAGATTCAATTATTCAGAGATGTATGACGAAGCATCAAAAATATATTATTTCAATTTGTTATGAAGTATCGATCTAAATTTTATCTCTTTTTCTCTTATGTATTATTATTATTATTTAATTCGTGATAATTTATTATGGGTTTTTCTGGTCGATCTCTCTTTGATCCGTTGGGATAATTATAGGCTAATTTTGAAACTTCATATTTAATGTTAATCGAGATGAATTTTGTATTTAGTCAATTTGTTTTAAAGTAAGCATTATATAAATGTTAATTAATACTTCATTAAATTTAAAATATATAAAAATAAAATATATTTTAATAATAGTTTGTCAAAAATATTTTTACCTATTTTTTATAAGAAAGTTAATTAAAATATGAAAACTATGATTTCAATTAATAGCTTTTTAAACTTTTTACTAATTTTTTATGTTAAGAGTCTCATGACTATAATTTTTATTTGGCTATTATTTTTTTTAATATTAAAATATTTCATGCTGCAAAATAATTATTTATAGCAACTTTTAAAATTTTAATTTTCTCATATTAATTTTATAATCATTTTTATAAAAAGTTGCCCTCATCCTTTTTTTTAATTATTAGTTTTAATTTCAAATTAACATAATATTTATTATTTACATATTTTATAGATATAATATATCTAAAATAAAGTAATAAGCTTAAAATTTTGAGATTCAAAATATTTTTTTTTTCAATTTTATCCATGTTGGAGAAATTATTGTGTACGCAATCCGAACGCAGAATAAGGTTCGGATGCTGCGTATTTACTGCTTATTTTATTGCGTATTTTTTGATACATAATTTTTTTACGTATTTATTATATATTTAGTGAGTATTTAGTGAGTATTATTTACTTACTACTTATTTGCCATATATAAATTATACATAAAAAAATACATAATGAAATAAATAATAAATATGCAGCATCCAAACCTTATTTTACCTTCGGATTATATAGACAATAATTTCTCATTCATGTGAACAGGTCGATCAATCTGGGTACCACTTACGCGTGGTGATGACGAGCCCGCCAAAAGCCTATCACATATAATCCTCGGAAAATCACCCACCAGCATCCGCCAATCCACCAAAACATCGGGGGGTCCACAGCCGCCATTCCCATGCTGCCATGCTGGAAGATTCATGAAATCCCGTAGAACTTTACTCTCACCTTCGGTGACACCATCTAAGGTTCTCTTCGTCGCCACGCTGATCCCGACACCGAGCCAATCTCTATTTAAAAGTTTCAAGCAACCATCTCTAGTTTCCATAAAACCCCTGTTTCTTAAATAATTTACATAAAGTTACAGCTTACTACAAACGCATTATTCTCTATTTTCAGGGGTTTTTATATAATAGAACTGATTTTTTTAATAGGATTTATTTTTTCATCTTCCTCCTTTAAAATGATCACAGATCCGAATGAGAATATACCTGAAGAGAGGCTGCTTCTCGGCACGCTACTGCTGGTTAGCGGGTGAAGGCGCAGTTTACCCTAAAATCTTGTCCTATTTCTTCGAGCTGTAAGTGCCCCGGCCACTGCAAGTTTTTCTTTTTTTCTATATATTCTGCCGAAGAAACACAAATGGGCATAGAAAGTTTGATAATGTTCCGTCTGTGGGGTTTGAATCTGCAAGGAAATGGGGTTGTAGTGGTTTGTGATGGATCGCTACTTTGATGTGACGATGCATTGGTTGCCATTGATCAAGGAAGTGCTTGCTGGTTTTGTTCTTTTTTCATTTTTTTTTTCTGTTGAAGTTTGCTGGATCGTATTTAAGACAAAAGCTAGTTTTAATACCCATATTTTATTTGTCTGTTTGCTTTATTTTGTTTGTTCTAGCAATTATCTTCTATAATCCGTGACGTGGAATGTGTTCATCATTGGTAGCCATTGATCAATGAATTTGGTTTACTGTTCCTTTTAGGGTACATAAAGTAGGTTTTCTCTTCCTTCCTTCTATTCATTAGAACTTCCGGGACAATTTTGTTGTTTAAAGTTATATAACTTGCTATTGAAAATAATGAATCTCCTAGATTCTGTTATGTGACTGAATGTAAGAAGAATTCAATATGGATTTTCAAATCTACAAATAACTTTAAAAAAATCCCTAAATCGTGAGGATTTTATTTTCATACTCAGAATGAGCGAAACCAAAATTAGCACTTCCTAAAACCTGTTTTTCAAATGTGCCGAACAAAATTTTATAACCGGTAAACAAGTGATAATTACTTCTCTACCAAATCAATAATGCCGTTTAGGTTTAGAAACCTAGTTTATTAGAGAAAATCATTGTCGTTCTGCACAGTATTTTGTTTTTGGATAAGATTCGTCCTCTATGGATTTTTATAAAAGAGTAGGACACAATATGTTGCTTGCTCAATTATTATACTTGCTTTAAATTTTGTAGATTTTTTTTCATGGCTTCCTACATGGGGCCCACCCAACCCCCACACGTGCTCATAATGTAAGCTCTCCATGCCAGCGTAGACAAGTGTGGTGAATATCATCCAATTTGTTAACTTGTATGCTAAAATGCAATCTAATATTACTCTCTCTCTTTCTCTCTTCCCCTTCCTCACTTTTTATCTTAACTAGTTTTTCCTTAAGTAATTGTTTTTTCTTAACTTCATCTTCATGAAATAACATGTATGCATGTGAGATTTTTACTTTAGTGCACTTGCTCTGACCAATGTAGTGTTCGGGGAGGGTTTGAGATAAAATTCTCTTTGTATCCATTTGCAAAGAGGTTGTTTTGTGACTCGAATTTGGGATTTCTATATTAGAGGTGTAACTTAATAGATCCAGATTCTCTATTTATTATGTTTCGATTTTCATTGTCCTGAACAAAAATGTGATTTGTCATTTCCCTGCACTGATTATTTGTTCACTAAGTTCATTGGTAGCTTCAAAGTGGTTTATGTTTATGAATGAACCTGTCTGAGTTCCAATGGCTTAGGAGCAAAAAATTTGCAGATTATATCATGTTAAAAGTGTTTGTCCTCCTGTTGATTGATAAGAAGGCTAACACGGTTTATTACTCATTCAGGCTTGCAGGATCAACATGTTGAAGATTTTCAGGATGAGGATACCCTTATTATGTCTTCTCGTCCGTTCTTTTGTTTTGATATGTTTTGTTGAAATTGTTTTATCAGGCTTCACAAGCTCTTTCATACGGTCAGAATGGCCTTCTACAGACATACCATTGGATAGTCCGGAGTTTTCAATTCCAGAGGGTTATAATGCCCCACAACAGGTAATTCCATGTAGCATTCGTATGTTATTTAGCAAAACATTATTTTTATTCACTCTTCAAGCTATTTTTTGCATGGTAATATACTTAATCATGAAAAATTCACTCAGACACTGCTTGAGTTAAAATTGCTGGTTGGTGTTCCTTTATTGTTCTCCCTATCCTCTAAATTTGCATGGTATTTTTTATTACATAATACTCTTGTGATTCTTCTCCGTTTTAGTCACCCAACATTTCATCACTTGAGAGCTGCCATTCTTCTAAATTATTTGGGGGATTTTAGGCATCTCATCTTTACATGGAACCTAGAATGTTATTTTGGGTTGGTTGGGCATGATAAAATATGTTGTAAAAGGTTCATGTGAGAGATCTCATTTTTTCCCTGTCATCATCATCATCAACCTTAGCACAACTATTTAGCATCAATTTTATGAATCCTCATTTTTTAGTTATAGCTGGAAAAGACAAGTATATCTAAATATTCTATGTTTAATGACTTCATTTGAAAAAAAAAGAAGTGAATGCACACGAGCAGAACATCTAATACGTTTGTTGTTTTCTTCATGAATTCTTTGGTAAATGATACCATAATATCTCAGGTATTTTGAAGCTTAACATTTTTCGAAACCAAAATGTTGTCGAAGTTTAGAATCTCACAATACTGTCAAGGGGCTATTTTCATCCTCCAAGTTGTTATCTTTTCAACCTTTATGATTGATATTTCATTGCTCTCCTCCATGTAGGGGTGTAAACGAGTCGAGTCGAGCTTGACTGTCAATATTGAGCTCGAGCTCGACTAGGCAAGGGAAAATGAGCTTGTCGAGCCGCAGTTTGAGCTGCTCATCTGCGTCCGTCGTGCTGCACACATTCGCGTCAGCATCTGCGTCCATCGTGGCACTGTCCTCCGCATCCGACTTGACACCAGCGTATGCGTCAACGTCCGCATTCATCGTACCGCCCACGCCCGTGCCTGTGCCTGATGTGTTGCCTGCGTCCGCCGTGCCACTGTCGTATGCTTCTGACGTGTCGCTCGCGTTTGCGTCATTCGTGTCACTGTCGTCCGTGCCTGACGTGTTGCCCGTGTCCGCGTCAGCATCTGCATCCTTCGTGCTGCCCGCGTTGGCGCTTGATGTGCCGCCCACATCCATGTTTTCATTTTCCCACCGGCACAAGCCCCGCGTTTCATTTTCCCTCAGGTACAAGCCCCGCGGTTTTATTTTCCCGCCGTGATTTCGCAAGCTGCTCGATGAGCTCGTGAGTTTAGCGGAGGGCTGTTCGAACTAGAGCTCGATAAGTCCTCGAGCTCGAAATTGTGTTCGAGCTCAATTCGCGAGCTCGATAAGCTGAACTCGTCAAGCCTGTTATCGAGTCGAACCCGAGTTGGCTCACGAGTTGGTTTGACTTGGTTGCACTACCTCCATCTCAATCTTTATGCTCATGATTTAATTGCATGTTGCTGTAAATTTTAATTGTGATACCTACATATTTTAAGATTGATTCAACAAGTAATCTCATTATCATAATATAAAAGTTAGTTTTAAAAAAATGTAGGAAAAAACAATACAAACGCTTTTATTTTGATAACGGATGAAAAGCACTTGCAAGATACAACTTTCCTTCAATTCGAGAGGAAGGAAAAACTCTCCAAAAGATCTCCGGCGAAGCCAAGAGCCCAAGACACCAAAACCTAGATCTCAAAATAATTCAAATTCAAGATAATCCCTAATTCTCTCTTAACTCTCTAATTAAAGCAAAAGGAAAGATACAAATTACATAAACACCTTCTTCATTCAAAAATTCCCTCCAACGAAACGCTCAAAAGCCGCCTAGCCCGCTCCTTCGTCCGCGGTTTGTGCGATCGGCGGGTTCCGCCCGGCTTTGGACCGTCGGGTGTAGAACCGGACCGGTCCAGCTGGGACCGGTCCAGTTCTAGGCGGTCATTTTTCATCTTTTGACTTTGTTGTATGACATAACGAACATGCTTTCTAAATACATATTCTACAGGCATATCTTGATCTTCTATCATATTAAGTTGCATATTTTTATTTCCACTTCATGTAAATTGTCTACTATACTCTCGGTTCTCAATTGATGTAACCTAAATGCATCTTGTTTCGAATTTCAGTTAACTCATGTTTTAGTTTCGTGGAGACAAGTGCATTTTATAATTTGAAAACTAACCGATGCAGCATTGATACCTAACATTGACTTCTGTTTCTCTCAATTCTTTCTTTTATTCTAAAATTTGGCTTCAACCCTTGAATTCCCTTGCTGTAAGTTCTTAATTTATGATCTTTATATCGTAAAACTAATATTCTGCAAAATCTACTTTATTGTCCTTTCAGGTTCATATCACCCAAGGTGACTATGACGGGAAAGCTGTCATTGTCTCATGGGTGAACATGATCGAGCCTGGGTCTAGTGAAGTACTTTATGGAACATCGAAGAATCAATATAATCTTAGTGCTCAGGGAACGCATACAAACTATACTTTCTACAAGTACAGATCTGGGTACATTCACCACTGCCTTCTTAGTGGACTTGAGGTATTTTCACTTGTGCATTTACATATAAATATGATTTTCTTATTTAAGATAGAGCTGCATATATATATATATATATATATATATTAATGGTCAGGATAGAATGCACATATTATCTGAAATTTGTGTACTCTTTGAAGTTTAATTCAACGTTTGATTGTCATTAACTATGAAACTTAGAAATTGATCTGCAAATACTTACTGTAACAAAAAATTTATGAGCTCTATGTTTTTTTGTTGATTGATTAAGTAGTTTATTTGGCTACGAGCATGACTTTCCTGATGAAAATCTTATTCCTCAATTCTTAGCTGAACATTTTGTACAGTACTAAGAGAACTTGATTCAATACATTATAATTTTCAGCACTTTGATGTTTTCATTACAGCATAACACCAAGTATTACTATAAGATTGGAACTGGCAGTTCTGCTCGAGAATTCTGGTTTGAAACACCTCCAGAGGTTGACGCAGATGCTTCCTACACCTTCGGTATAATAGGTAAGTTTGCCATTTCACTTGTTACATTAGTTTAGGTTGACTACTTCAATGTTTTTAGCTTGTTTTTATGAGAACCGAAATGCTAAAAAACCTATCTGAATGCCGTCTTGGATTATTAGCCTTGTTATCAGAATAGACCTTTTTGTGTTTTTTTCTAAGTCTTTACACACCGGTTAGGTCTTATCTTCTCTACTTGACACTCCTGGCTTTCTCAGCAATTGTCATATTTTAAATGGAGTTAACTATGCCATGCGGTTTTTTCTTTATCTTCAACTTCATGAAGTCAACTTGTGCTAAATTTAATATAGCTCTACCCAGTAGGCTGTCAAAATAGTTGATCTAATGAAACAGGACCTTCTCTGTAAGTGCACCACTGTTGCATCTGAGCACGAATTACAGTCGTCTCTTGAGGCTCAATAAGTCAGCAAATTAAATAATAATTTAAATACAAATTTATAATAAATAACCATATTGAAATCATAATTGAATAAACTTACCATTATCTGCAAATAATATAAAATCATTTTTAGGATTAACTTTTAATTCTTTTGAAGTTTACAGAATATCAATATTAGCCTTTTAAAGATTTGTACACTTTTATAAAAATGTTCAATGGAGCCCAAATGAACATGACATTATCGTCATTGAACTGCATAGATGTCACTTTTTGTCTCTTTAGGGGTCCATTTTGCCTAACATGCTATGCATGTTTCATATATGGGGTCCCTTTTATCACACCTACAATTACAAGTATTATACATGGGATCCCTTTTGCCTCACTTGTAATTGTAAGTTTCATATCATTTTATAATCAATCTTTATTAATTTGATATTCAATAAATTTCACATATTCATAGTTCTTATTTGTATTATAAGGCTGCATACTTTCATAATAATATAGCTATTATATTGTTTGCATTAAGAGGTGTATGACACATGTAAAGAATTCTACTTATTTTCAAAATGTTACAAACTAGAAAAATCTTTAAATGATCATATTACATTTTATTTTAAATATGAATCTTTCTAATTTGCATGTAGTTGTTCGTACATAAATACTTGGCTGTGAACATGCATTCATAACATCACTCTCTTTTTATAACTATTTTTTTGAATTTTCATTAAATGCTAGTGTACAAGTCTACCAAAAATAACAATATATATTTTTAAAGTAAACTTGCATTACTTATCTCCTTAACGAGTTATCTTTTCCAATTCCACATCTCCTATATATATATATATATATATATATATATATATATATTCATTTCTAAATTTAGAAAATCGAAAAGATAATACTTAACATTAAAATTTCTTACCTCCTTCCTTTTATTGTTTTTTTCTTCTACTATTTCTTTCCACGGCTCCAAAACACCACACAAAATCACTGTTCCTTCAATTAATTTGCACACTCACATCAAACTACAATTCATTATATGAATCCAATTAATTTACATTCAATCCTTGCCACAATTTTTCAAATAAACTCAATTTTATAATTCCACAAATACCTGCACCCAAGCCTTCCTACATTGCACTAAGCTGAACCTTCCTTGCACTGTGCTGTGCTTTCCTTTACTCTGAATTGCTACAGTTCTCCCAGAATTTTCCTTCAGCCGTTGCCTGTACTGTGCCGAATTCTCCTATTATTCACTTTGCCGTGAATTGCACCGCCGTGAATTGCACTGTGTCCCACTCCAATACCACTCCTCACTCACACTTCTTCCTTCCCACTGCCTACTTGTGTGAATTTTTCTGTCTTTTGTGAATTCCGAATAAGAGGAGTGGATGAGAGGCCCACATGTATAACTGCTCTTCTCACACATTCATCTGTTTAAAAGCATCTATTCATGAATAACTACTTATTTAATTTAATAAAATCCTTTACTTTTAATAAATATTAATATTTACTTAACTATTAATTACTTTTAATACTAATTTATCAACCAATTATCATTAAACTTTTTATTTAAATGGCCATCACTGAGTGAGGAAGAAAAAAGAAAAAAAGAAGAACCAATTATCATTAAACTTTAAAAATAAGTTTAGTAAAATAGAATTATTTAATTTAAATCTTACATACTTGAACTTTTTTTTTGGATCTTACACGGGATGGGATTCGATGCTGGTACAAGATGGCTACAAGATTCTCGGGATTTAATGTGGAAACAATGATGGGTTTGGTTTAAATTTCTTTTAACATATAAACATGCGTGCGCTCGCATATACATATATAAGAAATTGAAGTATATTGACTCTTTATTACAAGTCATTGTCGCGTGGATATGTATATTATTCATCATTGCATCGCACACGGGTTAATTTTGTACTTTGCATTCATATGGTGAATAAGACAATATGGGCTTCTTCTTGGTGGTTTTGATGTTCTGGATGGGTCAATGTATAACACCCAACAATACCTCTTATTTGTTTTGTAGAGTGCTATACAAATAAACATAATATTTTTTATTATTTAATATATGATATTTTTCATCATTTAAAAATTTATATAAAACATCCAACAACATTATATTTACTATATAAACGGAAACATCTAATAACTCAAATTACATCAAATAAATATTTATAGAGCCACTAATACAATCCCAAAATATTTCACTACTGAACTGTTTACAATCCTAGACTTATAAATAGAGCTAAACACTAGCATATAAAATGAAATAATTTGTAATTTAATCTGCATAAATCATTTCCTTTCCTTTTCTTTGATAACAACCAATATGAAATAATTGATAAGCTACGAGGCTTAATAAGTTATGCAAATTTAAATAGCGGTTAAATTGCATGATTAAAACATTCACAATATTGAAATCATAAATTAAACAAACTTGACATTATTTATAAAACATCATAAAATGATAGCTAGCTTTAACATTTACTTACTTTGAAATCTATACCGAATATTAATATTGATATTTTAAAGATTTGGCTAAACTTTCATCAATATGTTCAATGGAGCCCAGGTAAATATGACATTATCGTCATTGAACAACATGGAGGTCACATTTGCCTCATTAGGGGTTCTTTTGCCCCACCTGCTATACGTGTATCATATCTCTAAGATTTTTTGTCCCTCTTACAATATAGTGTTATACATGGGGAGCCGTTTGCCTACATATAATTATAAGTTGTACATCATTTTGTAATTAAATTTTACTTAAATTGATTTTCACTAAACTTCACATATTCATAAATTACACTTATATTGTTGCATGCTTTCATAATAATATTTCTGTTATAATCTATATACAAAGAATATGCATTCAATATGTAAGAAATTGACATCTTTTCAAAACATTATTAATTAGAAAAATATTTAAATGGGCATACTAAACTTTATTTTAAACTAACATGATTAAATTATTAAGTGGTTGTTCATACTTCATACTTGAAAATTTGGATGTATAATCCATTTCTATACATTGAACAAACTTAATATCATTTTACTTTAATGCATTCTAAATTAACTCTCCATACTTATATATAATTTTAATATAATTGTATTACTTATCTTTTTGAAGATTTATCTCCTAAATTCCTACACCTTGCACTCTTTCCATTTTGTAAGTAAGCTATACAATTTACTTCTAAATTTTCTATAACTTTCATAAATCATACTTATACTAATTTGCATAAAACAGCTTACTCCTCATATTCCAGATAAATTCATACATAATTGATTTATTTTTTCTTTTAATAACTTTTGCTAATAAAATTTACAAAACAAAGATAACATTATCATGAAAGAAATTTACTTACTTTTAACTTCTTTCCTCTATTTCTCTAGTATTCTCCTTTAACTGGAATTCTTTACCAAAATTCCTATTTACGAATCTTGCTGTAGAAATCAGTCGATCTTATCAAAATACTTAAAATTTCCTTGATAAACATGTTGAAATTGATCACAGTTTCACTTACCCGAACTTCAATAGTCGTTGTTAACTATACTGTGGAACACTTCTACAGTTCTCCTTTCACTTCTTCCCCATTTTCCCTTTTATCTTCCTTCATATAAAAATTCTGAATTTGTTCCTTGCACTGTGAGTGCCGAATATTTCTTCCAAGAATCGTACCTCACTCTTCAGCAAAGCACTATGCTGAATCCTCTTCTACACTAAGCACTGTGCTGAACAATGCTACTGTCCCCTAGGCACTGTGCCGAATTTCACTGTGCCGTTCCTTTTTCTAACAAAGCACTGCACTGTGCCGCTCCTTTTCCAGCGCGCACTGAAATGTGCCGTGAATTGCAGTAGTTCTCTGACCCAATTCTCCCCAATGCATTAACTGTCAGCATGCGTGAAAAAGTGATGGAAAAGGATGGGTAAGAGGCCCACTAACTGCTATCCTACACTCACGTCCAAAGGGAACAACTCTTCAGGAATTAACTGTAATTAATAATAATGCTAAATTCACTTAACATTTGAGCGTTGTTTGTGGTTTAGGTATTTCAAAACCGGTTCATGCGACTTCGTGTTAATTGGTCGTAGTTCTCATCGTATTCGATTGAATTTGCCACGAGATACATATGGAGGTTAGCATTAGGGAGACCATTTCTTGTAGTTCCTTTCTCTTTTTAGGTCTCGTAGGTTTGACATAATGTGGTATGAGTTTCCGACATTTTTATTTCTATGAGTATAGCCTAAAATACTAAAATACTCCTATATGGGATCATGTTTTGAGGTTCCTCGAATTTGATTAGATCATGTGGGCGTCATCATCCTGTTTATCTCGTGTATGGTTAATTTTTCACATGTTTGCAAACGGGTTCTTAAACTCGACAAGCCTAGCATAATTCGGACTTGAGTGCTTGGCTTTAATCCTATCTTTGTTTATTAAGGCATACCATATGAAAAATCATTTTTTGAAATTAATTACCAGGTGATTTGGGTCAAACCTACAATTCTCTGTCAACACTGGAGCATTATATGAAAACTGGAGGACAGACTGTCTTATTTGTTGGGGACCTCTCGTATGCTGATAGGTATCATGATAATGATGGGAACCGTTGGGATTCTTGGGGCCGTCTTGTTGAAAGGAGTGTTGCATATCAGCCATGGATTTGGAGTGCTGGAAATCATGAAATAGAGTACAAACCTCATCTGGTAATTCGTACAAACTGTAAATACTATGATTTTCACTGAAATATTGGCTCAATAACTAAATTTTCTTATTACATATTCTCATCAAGCATTGAGTTATGATAATTTAGTATTTCTATTGGTGCTACAGTTATGCTTGGTTCACTTTTCATTATTAATCAAGTTTTGCTAGCTTTATGTATTCTTGATGATACCATTTGCAGCTGAGAATTGAATTTGCCTATAACTTGATGCGTTCTTGTAAAACTAAAAATGAATTTGGTTTTATTTTTTGTGAATTAAAGGGCTATTTTTTTATTAATATTATTTTAAAATTTTGTCACAATCTTTACCAGTTACCGCTAGTAGAATATTGAGAACAAACCTATGGTAGTTTTATTCCAACTATGTTATTAAAATGACGTGTTTCTATCTTTTAGATATCTTACTCAAGAACTGTTGCCTCTTTTTATAAAGTTTAAGGTCTCTGTTTGGATTATAAAGTTTGAACCTAATTGCTTCAATTATAAGTTGGTCACCATTTGATCAGTGGCCTACCATACATGTGCTTTGTTTTCATTCCACGGCTTAGTAATACATAAATTCAAGAGGCTTGCACTAAACGTTAATTTCAAGGTGTCATGAGTAGCTTTATGACTCTTATCCCAACTATTTAAGGCCCACTTTATCAAATCTTCTTCACCATTCAATTTTATCAACTGTTTTATTCAATGTTAATTTTAATTTTATGCAAGTATCTATTCTTATTCAATGTTAACTTTTAATTTTTTGCAAGTATTCATTTCCAACTTATGTGCTTGGAGTATCAAAGGGAAAAACTACTAATAGTAAAAATATGTGGTGGTGGAATCAAAATGTGCAAGAAAAAATAAAAAATTAGTATATTTATCATAAAAATTGGTTTCGCTGTAAAAATTCTGATAATTGAGAAAGATATAAAGAGACCCGTAAGGAGTCTAAGAAAGTAATTTACAATGCAAAGATTTTAGCTTTTAATGATTTATATAATAGATTAATACTAAGGAGGGTGAAAGATATATGTATAAGTTAGCTAAACAAAGAGATAGGATTAGTAAAAAAATTTGTTCAAGTGAAGTGTATTAAGGATGAAGATGAAAAAGTGTTTTTATTAGAAGAAATTCAACAAATGTGGATGAGATATTTTGCCAAAATTTTCAGTGAAGATTATGAGAATGCAATTGACTTTAATCACCTTAGTAAATGAAAATAAAGATTTTTATTTTTATCGTCATATTAGTAAAATCAAAGTTAAAGAGGTTTTAAAGAAAATGAAGTGTGGAAAAGCTACTAGACTTGATAATATCCCAATAGAGGTGTGGAAATGCTTAGGAGATGAAGGAATTTCTTGGCTTATTGAACTTTTTAATATTCTTATGAAGACTAAAAATATGTCAGATGAGTTGAGAATGAGTTTGTTGATTCCTATTTTTAGGAATAAATATGATGCACAAGATTGTTTGAATTATAAAGGAATTAAGTTAATGTGTCATACTTTAAAACTATGGGAGAGAATTATGAAGTATAGGTTGCGGCGTGACACCAATGTTTCTCAAAATTTATTGAGAGGTTTAATGGAGAAGTATAGAGAGAATAAGGAGGATCTATATATAATTTTTATTGATTAGAGAAAGCATATGATAAAGTTCCAAGAGAAGTGCTATGGAGAGTTCTAAATAAGAAATGGATTAATAATGCTTATATTCAAGTCATTAAGGATATGTATGCAGGAGCTATTACTTGTGTAAAGATATAATTATTTGTTCTATCTAAAATTAAGCGTGCAAGCTTTCATTACGAAACCCATCATCGCATGTACGTTTCACATCACAAGGTGGTTTGACCAAGTATTTTTATATCAGTTGGATTAGATCAAGGATCAGCCTTAAGCCCATATCTTTTTGCGTTATTCATGGATGTTCTCACTAGACATTTGCAAGAGGTTTTACCCTGGCGTATGTTTTTTGCTGATGATATTTATCTTGTTGATGAGACTAGATAGGGAGTTGAAGGTATACTTGAATTATGGAGTCCAACCTTAGACTCTAAAAGCTTTCGTTTGAGTATATCTAAAACTGAATATATGGAATGTAATTTTAGTAATAATAGATCTAGTGGGGGGATTGCGACTTTGGGCGATCAAGTCATTAATAAGAGCACCTAACAACTAGCATACTTCGAATTAGGATTCATCTAATAAATTTTATATCGTTTTGATTATTTTTAATGTCATGGGTTGTTTAGTCCAACAATGGTAGTAGGTATTCCTCTATTTGATTTAATCTAGATTAGAGCAGGCTTTTCCCTCTTCATCTAAGTCTGAATACCAAATCTGTTTTTCACGAAATCGTGCAAATTATTTCTTTTTCTAATGGTCTTCATCACTTAGATTTCATTTATACAAATATAAGTTATAAAATAGATAAGCACTATCAAGCAATTAGGTCAGCTCTTCAACGAATAGGGAAAAAATTATCTAATGGGTTTTATATGAACCTTGAAGGATATGATTTTTCCACATAATCGCTTCAGCCCTTAAATTGTAGACCGACATGTGCTATCACCCATGTGCCTATTGATAATACTATAGGGTGTGTTTCACATGATTAAGCTAGCTTAATTTTCAATTCCTAGTTTTTATCAAAGATTAAGTAATTCTTATGGGAGCCGTAAAACACAGTAGAATTTAATTAAAATAAAAACCGCATCAATAAGATCTTTTGCTTTGAGATAATGAATGCTAGTCGGCTATCTGATTGTTGGTATTGGTGACCCTTCGTTAGCTTCATTCCTCATCTTGCATATGAATAATTGGATCCTGCTCAGTGGTGTGCTGAGCAACATTTTTAATTGACTATGCTGGAACTTTTGAGATTCAAACCTTTCTGGCGGAGACTAGACTAGTTTTTTATGGTTTGAGCCATTTATTGCTTCTAACACGCTATTAAAGTTGATTTTTGACAGTTATTGCGGTTCTTCAGATTTGATCCATGATTATTTCCTTGATCATTGTAATACTCGCTAAACTTTTGTTGACCTGCGTATGAAAATCCCGCATACATACCTGTAGACCGATGGATCCACGATTTTTGCTAGAATCCCTGCCAAAATTCCGCCGAGGAACTATAGATTCGATTCCGTTCACGTCTGTCTCCGCGATTCCTGCAGGGATCCCGTCGAAGAGTACTCATTTTGCGTCGTTAAATAGGAGCCGAAGGCTCTTCTTCTCGGCTGCTCGACACAACTCTCCTTTCCCGTTCGCTACCCACACGACCTCTTCCCTAATTTCCCGTCACTGTGCCGACGCATCTCCCGATCTCTTTGAACCAGAGAGAGAGAGATAGAGAGAGAGAGAGAGCATCGACCTCTTGAAGCCCTAGACCCGGCCGAACTCCTACCTGCCGTCCGACTCCCTACCCGACGCATCCTCTCTGTTAGGATCAGAAGTTACAACATTTTGATCGGGGAGCCCGTTAGCTGAGAAGGTAACTTTCTCCCTCAAGCGTGCTTCTTCGGCCAAGCCCAGTAAATCTACCAAATTGTAGAGAGAGGGGAGGGAGTGATTTATTAGTTTTTTATTATTATTATAATTATTTAATTAATTATATTTGCTATAATTAATTAGATTTAATTTTAATTAAATGGTTATAATTAATTTTAATTAATTTAATTAGAATTAAATTTAAATAATAATTTTTAATTATTATTAATTATGATTAATTAATTATCATTTATTAAAGTTAATTAATATGAATTAATTATAATTAATCATTTTTAATTAATTTTATTAAATATAATTAATTATTTTCTTAATTGATTATAATTAATTATAAGTAAATTTAATTAATTAGGAATAATTATAATAAATGAAACTTGCCTCCCGCCTCGATCCGTATGCCAACCGCGCCGACATCCGCCAAGGTATAACTTCTAAAACCTAAAACTCCGAGAACCCGATTTCATC